ATCCCATTCAGTGATTGGCATCCCACCCAGTCCATCCCATTCAGTGACTGGCATCCCAGCTCATCTCATTCAATCAGAAGATCAAACTGCTCAGCAGCTTCAAATTCAGCATTCATGGCCATAGCCCACTTATCCAGCTCTGATTTCTGGTGGAAAGAAATGAGGGCACATAAGTGGGAAGGGAAGAGCAGTCATGTTGGCCAGAGCACACTACCCACACTGAGGCATTGCCTTCCCTCAAGAGCCAGAGCTGTTTGGCCCCGCATACCCGCTGCTTGTTCACTCACCGGTATCTCAGGAATCTTCTTCTTTCGTTTCTCTTTCACAACTGGGGGAGAGATTCCAGGGAGCGTTCTATCTGGAACCAACTGCTTCGCAGGTACCTTTGGGGTTTCGATTAACTTTGAACACACGACAGGTGAAACTCCAGGCAAGTCTTCAGGTCCCTCAAAGCCAAAAAAGGATTGGCGGCCAGGGGTGGAGGTTGGGGCACATCCGAGGCTCTGCAGTCGACTGTATGACCGCCTGACTTTCTGAGACATTTCCAAGTCTCTGGTGTCCAGCTCCACCTCTCCAGAGTTAGACTCAGCATTCTGAGTGTACAGTACAGGGGTGCTGGAGGGAGTACCAGGGACAGTACAAGTCTTGAAGAGGTCCTCTTTAGTGGGTACCTTGAGCGGAGGGTGGTTTTCTTTCTCCAAGATAAAAGAGATCTGTATCAGGACAGGAGAGAAGTCTTGTCAGCTAGGGGACTCAGGATGGAAAGACTGCCTGGAGGACACACAGGCTTTCTACCTGTTTCTTTGTACTTCCAGGTGTAGGGACGGAGCCTAGGACCTTGTCCAAGTTCAGCAAACACTGTGCTTTGAACCCCCGCCCCCGTCCACGGTAGATTTAAAGCAGCAAACGAGAGCCACTGAACACCAGCCCGCGGTGCACACAAGCCCACATTGAACACCAGCCCGCGGTGCGCACAAGCCCACATTGAACACCAGCCCGCGGTGCGCACGCCCTGGGCTCCATGCCCACTATTAGAAGGAAGAACCACTGTTCCTGAAGAGCTGCACTTGTGACGAAATTATATTTGCTGCTGCTACTACCAGGTGTACCTGGTATACAGCTACCACTTTTTTTTTTTTTGGTTTGGTTTTTCGAGATAGGGTTTCTCTGTGTAGTCCTGGCTGTCCTGGAACTCACTCTGTAGATCAGGCTAGCCTCGAACTCTCGAACTCAGAAATCCGCCTGCCTCTGCCTCCCAAGTGCTGGGATTAAAGGCGTGCACCACCACCGCCCGGCCAGCTACCACTTTTTAGCTGATGTAAAATCTCAGTATATCTAGACTGGCTTCAGAACTCAGAAATCCTCCTGCCTCTGCCTCCCCATGTGCGCCACCACTGCCCGGCCAGGCTCACCCTTTATGGGCCATCTGCTATATAACTGCTAAAGACTTTTCAAAAATGTTCATTTGGTCAATTATCTACTGGTGACCTGTCCTATAAACCAGGGACTGTTTCGGGTACTGTGAATACATCAAGGAAAAGCCACAGCACTTCAGTGCTCCCATTGTAGCAATAAGAACACAATGAGGAAAATGTGTGTGTGAGAGAAAAAGCAGAACAAGCTGGATGGTGGCAGTGGTGGTGTCACATGCACATCCCAGGACTTGGGAAGCAGAGGCAGGCAGATCTCTGAGTTGCAGGCCAGTTGGGGCTGCAGAACAAAACTTAGGGGTAGGTTGGGATTGTAGTCTCACTGAGAAGGGGACACGAACTATGGTTTGAAGGATGTGAAGCAGAGTTGTGTGGACATCTGGAGTAACTGTGTTCTAGGTAGTAGGTGGGAAGGGGAGATACAAAAGGCTCGAGGACAAGGTGTTTTACTTAGGGTCGAGGAACAATAGAGGCCAGTGTGGCTGAGGTCAGGAAATAATCCAGAAACTGAAGATGTAACAGAAGTGGCATCACAGCACACTACAATACCCCTCTATGTGTACGTATGTGGCCATCATAGGAAAGGGCTTGGCCCAAGGCCAGTGGAGCCATGGCAAAGCTGTCCACAGCAAAAGCTTACCCTGGCGTATGTACTTGAGGCTAATTGTTACGCATACCCTACTCTTTGTCCAAATCGTTCCTCCTCAGGGAGGCTGTTCATACTGAGACCAGCCCAGCCCAGCCTTTTATCCACAACTAGACTATCATAATACTGTTCTACTTCTACTGCCACAGTCCAGCAGTCTGAAGTTGGCCCGCTGACTGCTTAACTCAGTCCTGTCATCCAGAGAGGGAAGCTCCTTGAGGATCAGGGCCCAGCATGCATAGCAGAATCGTGTATAACAGAGACTCACTGAATTAATGGACATGAAACTTGGCACCTAGTTTTTATAGAGGCCGAGACCTAGTAAAATAGCAAAAGGACAAATTCAAGCACACTTGTGCTTTAATACAAAGAAGTCATTAAGCCAGGCAGTGGTGGCGCACACCTTTAATCCCAGCACTTGGGAGGCAGAGGCAGGCGGATTTCTGAGTTCGAGAGTTCGAGGCCAGCCTGGTCTACAGAGTGAGTTCCAGGACAGCCAGGGCTATACAGAGAAACCCTGTCTTGAAAAACCAAACCAAAAAAAAAAAAAAAAGGTAAAGAGAAATTTCCTAGGCATAAGCTCTGGAAAACCTTAACAAAGGAATGCCAATCAAAAGAGGGGCAATCCCTGACCATTACTTCAATCATCTGCAGCCCAAGTCAGCAGATTCTGTTTTTGAGACAGGGTCTCTCTATGTAGACCAGGCTGGCCTTGAATTCAGAAGTTCCTGCTCTAAAGGTTATATTTAGAGGGGAAAGACATCTAACATGTAAATAAGTACCATACTAGATGTTGATAAAGACACTACAAAGAAATGTGTCAGTGGTGGCAACGGGGTGATCAGGAAGACCTCTGGGAGATGTGATGGACACTCATCCCACATGATCTTAGTTTGGCCTTCGCCATCTTAACTCTCCCCCTTGCTCATTGGACTCTAGTGAAATCATCCACAGAAAAGTCTCCCTATAACGCTTCGGCTTTACTATGTCAGTACTCTGGTTAAAAGCTGGTCGGGAAACCAGGCGTGGTGATGGACGCTTTCAATCCCAGTGCTAGCATGGGGGTTGGGGGAAGTGAATCTGAGTCTGAGGCCTGCCTGGTCTACAAAGCAAGTTCTAGGACAGGGCTGTTACCTAGAAAAACATTGTCTTGAACCTCTGTCCACCCCACCCCCCAAAAAGATGGCTGGGATTATCTCACCAGCAGGGTACCTGCTTAGTATGGACCTAGGATTGTGTCCTGGGATTGATCTCCAGCACCACACACATCAGAGTAACAAACTGGGCACTTTGCCTCCCCAGTGCACTGAGACGGAGGAAGGAAGGTAACCTTGAACACAAGGCCAGCACATAGTACTCAGAGTACCAAAGCCAGCTAGAACAACACAGTCCTGTTCAAAGAAAATAGCACAGGGTGTTCACCTGTAATTTTGTCACTCGGGAGATTGAGAATCAGGAATTCAAAACCAGCTTTAACCACATACTAAATTCAGGGCCAGACTTGGCCAAATGTAAACCCTGCCTGTCTTGAAACTCACTCTGTAGGCCAGGCTAGCCTATAACACAGAGATCTGCCTGCCTCTGCCTTCTGAGTGCTGGGATTAAAGGTGTGCACTACTACCCAGCATCTTTTACACTGTGTATGCATGTGTTCATGCAGTCAAGAGGGCACTGGATACTCTAAACCTGAAGTTATAGGTGTTTAGGATCCATCTGATGTAATCCGAAAATTGCTCTTACCCAGAGCCACCTTCCTAGCCCCTAAACATAACTCATTCTACAACCATAAATAAGTGCTAAGAACAAAACAAACTTTTAGTTTTTTTTTTTTTTCCCCTGTGTAGTCCTGGCTGTCCTAGAATCCCTCTGTAGATCAGGCTGGCCTCAAACTCTGTCAAGATCTGTCTGCTTCTGCTTCACAAGTATTGGAATCAAAGGCATGTACCACAACCACCTGGAGGTAAAACAGTTTACAGAAGACCAGTGGTTAAGGCATAATTTTTTAAGAAAAAGTGAAAATGCTCAGAGCATAAAGAACTAAAAATTAATTGACACCCGCAGGCAGGAAACAAGGATGGTAATTATATAATTATAGTCAGTACTGGTAGCACGCCCATCTCTAATATTTGAATCTATCCTCAAAGACTAGCCCAGGTGGATCTCTCTGAATCTGAGGACAGTCTGGTCTGTGATAACGTCCAGTTCAGAAAACAGTGTTACACAGAGAGACCTAAACTGACAAGTTACTGCCTGAGAAGCGAGTGTTTAGGATGCCTAGCCGCTAAGGCGAACAAATTAAATCCTACACAAAATAACAGATGGAACTGAACTCACCCTAGGACTCCTGCGAAGTGTGTGGACATCTGGGACCTGCAGGGACAACATCAACCATCAATCAACAGCTAAGCCCAGTTTTGACGTCTTACTCCCAACTCCCTCCCTCCCCCCTCACCTCTACTGCATGAGCTACGATCTTCTTCAAGACGATGGCCTTTCTGACTGGAGCTGCTGGAGTTGTCTAAAAAATAAAAGTATTATCCGCGAGCTTTACATTAGTTCAAAGTCCTCTAGGTCAGTGTACAAGGAATTTGGGTGTGTGTGTGTGTGTGTGTGGGTGTTGCTAAGAAAAGCTTTCCTCACTTTCTTCCCAAGCCTTTTCATGCTCTAAGCCTGGTTCTAAGTTTTTATTTTGTGTAAGTTCTAGCTCCATGTCGGGCACCATCTGTGGAAACACTGAGTGGGGGTTCTTTGACCCCTTTGCTCCCAAATAACTTCAGAGCATTTCTTCCTCCTCTACCCCCTTCTACCTCCCAAGTAAATGACACAGTATTTATTAAAGGGGTATTATTAAAAGGTTGCTGGCACTATGCTGGGCAGGTTCTGAGCTACTCTAACCCTCCAAGGCTCCCTATCTCCAAACCACATCGTCCTCTACCTGTATCTGAGTTTTGCCCTGACTCACTCTAGTCCTCATGACTGGTACCTCCTCTCAACCTCAAGGTGAAACCATCTGGTCCCTCCCTGCCTCCCATCTGTCATCTGTCCCCCCCTCCTCTCCCCTCCCTCCCTCCCCCCCCCTCTCTCTCTCTCTCTGGGATTCCTCACTAGGGTCAGATGTCCCCGACTCCTGTCCTTCCTGCCCAGCCATAGGCTGATAAGTTCTTTATCAACCAATCAGATGACAGAAAACAGTGAGACCTTGACCTTGCAAACCTGACAACAGAAAAAGCAGGGCATGGAAATTAGCATCTGAATACACAGTGCACAAGACCAACCCCACCACCGGAGGAACTAGGAACTCACTCTCGGCCAGATATCAGGGAACGTGTTCGGGAGATCTGAGCCAGATTTCCGCTTAGACGACTTCGAAGGCTTAGTAAGTGGAGTCCTGGCCCCTGGAAAGGAAAACATGTTTAATGATGAGAAAAACTTTGTTCGAAG